CTGTGCCCATGTGATGACCAGGGCTGCATGAGATCCTGGGGAAGCTGCCACGGAACACGTGTTCAGGAGACGCACGGGGGGAGAGGGGATGAGAAGACACAAGGTGGAGAGAGAGGGACAAAGCCTTTAACAGCACTGCCACATTCCTCTGCTCTTGAGGATTTACTAACTTTAGTCAGCTGGAAAGAATTTTTAAATGACAATAAAACATATTACACATTTCTAAAATTCTGCTTTTCTGTGTTAGTCACAGGAAAGCACTCAGAATTCAACGTGGCCTCGGGAGGTTGTCTCGCTGAGGCTACGTGGGCTGGACTCAGATTCGTGCCCTTTGACCCCAGGTATCTCTCCGGCAACTCTTCCTGCCTTGATGCCCAGCCTGCCTTTCTTCCACTCAGCACCAGCTCCAGAAATGACTTCATCTGCAAGGAGGAGGGCTCCACTTGCACGTCGTGAATCTTAAAAACAGGATCACCAGCAGTGGGGCACTAGATGGGCAGGAGGGTTTGTGGGGGAGGCAGTTCCTGCCCCTTCCCTGCCACCTTCCTCTGGAGGTCCCTGCTTTCCTTCTGTGTTTTGAGTATCTACACACTACTCCAAGTACATATCTGGTATGAAATATCGCCCTCCACAACTGTTCACGAATTAAGAACTCACGCCACAGAAGGAAGGAAAGCAGGCATTTGGACACAGGACAGAATACCTACTTCCTCCCAGGCGTGAGCACCTCAGATTAAGCTTAGGGCTTAAGATCTCACATTTCATACAAGTGTCTGAGCACATACACAAGAAAAGAAGGTAGAAAAGTTCAAGCATCAAAGACAAATAAAATCATTATGTCTGACAAATTCTCTTAAGCAGAAGAGATAACAGAAAAGAGCTGCGCTGGGTCCAGGTTCCTTCTAATTACACAAGGGAGAGACAAGGAGGTAAGACACTGTCAGGTAAGCCAGAGGACCAGCCCTGGAGGACAGCTGCTGCCCACATCCCCTCGTGTTCTTCCTGAGGGGTCTGCGGTTGCATCACACTGGCGACACTGACGATCACACGGCAGGGAGGGGACCAGAAGGCAGCCCTGGAAGGCAGGGACACTCCAGGAAGAAAGGCAGCAAGAGAGGTTCCCACTGAGCCTCTGCCTCGAGGAGACTGCGAAGAGCAAGGTAACTCCCTGGGGCCTGGAGAAGCCCCAGGAAGCCCAGGGGACGGACATGAGCACAGCTGAGGCCACCAAGCCAAACCTATACCAGGCGAGAGGATTCTGGCCCTTCTGGCTTTGCAGAGTATTCTCAGATATGTTTCTTCATCAGCGTCACAAAAACATAGTAATTTCTGGAAAGAAATAGTAGTCACATTTGATAGATGAGGCAAAGAGACAGGAACAATGTACCAGAGGCCACCCTACTAATGGGTGGCAAAGCAAAACTCATCTCTCGGACTGCTCTAAAGGATAGGCCCTGGGGACTGATGCTGTGGCATAGCAGATTAAGCCACCACCTGCAGTGCTGGCATCCCACATGGGCACAGGTTCGTGTCCCAGCTGCTCCCCTTCCAATCCAACTCCCTGCTAATGCACCTGGGAAAGCAATAGAGGATGTCCCCCCGGCACCCACGTGGGAGATCCAGAAGAAGCTCCTGGCTCCTGGCTTCGGATCATCTCAGCTCCGACTACTGCAGCCATAAGGGAAATGAATCAGCAGATGGAGGATATCTCACGCACGCACACTTTCAAATAAATAAAATAAATTAAAAAAAAAAAAAAAAGGAATAGATCCTGAGGCTAGGAGGTAGTATGTCCCACGACTGAGAAAATGGTGAGTATTGAGAGGTTCAACAATGAGAAGAAATGATCTAATAAGGTAAACAGATCCTATCCTAGGTTATTCTTTTGTAAGAGAAAAAGATATAGACACAACCAGCAAAAGACCCTGGTCATTTAGCATAAAAACAGAATTCCAAACACAAACTCTCTGTAAAAGGAGTCTCAGACAACATCCGTAGAACTGGGGAAAAGGCCATCTCAAGTAACTGTGGGGCAGGAGCTGAACAGCCAGCCAACCGCAAGTCGCAGAACCACTCCCATGCCGACACACACCAAGAGGACAAGGAGACTCGGAACACTCACTGCAGAAAACACAGCCCAGGTCTGCTCTGAGGATGAGACACATCAAGGATTGAGCAGAGGGTCTGGCACAGAGCAAGCAACTAGTAAATGTTAGCTGCTAACAGTAGTGGCAGTCACATTGTGATAGCAGTAACATCAGAGAGTGAGGTCCTGGGCTGGTGTTGGGGTGTAGCAGGTAAAGCCACTCCCCACCATGGTGGCATCCCATATGGTGCTAGTTTGTGTCCCAGCTGCTTCACTTCTGATCCAGTTCCCTGTTAATGCACCTGGAAAAGCACTAGAAGATGACCCAGCTTTTTGGGCCTCTCTGACACTCATGTGGGAGGCCTGGATGAAGCTCCTGGTTCCTGACTTCAGCCTGGCTCAGCCTTGGCTGTTGTGGCCATTTGGGGAGTGAACCAGCAGAGAGACTGTCTCTCTCTGTCTCTCCTTGTATCTTTGTATCTCTGACTTTCAAATAAGTAAGTAAGTAAATAAATAAATAAATACCTTTCATTTAAAAAAAAAAAGAGAGCGAGAAAGAAAGAAAGCTAGGTCTTTCCCAAAATCCAGCCTGTATATGGTGGTCAAAACCTCCAAACTCAGTCTACTGTGATCTCCACTGCTTTTTAATGACAAGGGCAGACTGTCCTCCATCCCTTTAGTGACACTGTCTTCCAAAATTGCTGTGCTCTGGATGAGGCCAACGCTGTGGCATAGCAGGCAAAGCTTCTATCTGCAGCGCTGGCATTCCATACAGGTGTTGGTTCAACTCCTGGCTGCTCCATTTCCAATCTAGCTCTCTGCTGATATATCTGGGAAAGCAGTGGAAGATGACCCAAATCCTTGGGCCCTTGCATCCATGTGGGAGACTCGGAAGAAATTCCTGGCTCCTGGCTTTGGACCAGATCAGCTCCTGCCACGGCAGTTATTTGGGGAGTGGACCAGCAGATGGAAGACTTCTCTGACTCTCCCTCTCTGTCTCTAACTCTGCCTTTCAAATAATAAATCTTTTTTTAAAAAATTGCTGTGCTCTTTTCTGTTAAGAGGTAGCCTAACACATTCAACAGCAGTTGCTGGAGTAGAGGAATCTGGGGCTGGGGGTATAGGACAGAGCCTGTGTGAGCTGTCTGGCCTCAATCCCTAGGTGGGAAGCCCACGGAGCAACTCCAGCATTTAAGAGCTTCCCTCTACTGCCAACTCCACTCTGGTCTCCTGAAGCCAGTAGAAACCCACAGGCAACCACTAAGAGTCACTAGCACACCTGTCCCCTCCCACGGGCTGTCCCACCTTGCTCCGATCTTTACACATATCTAGCCCACACACCCCCAGGTCTGGCTAATTGGCTTTAAAGAGGCCAGCATTAGGAAGAAGCTGAGGAGGAGACCAAGCCTGAGGGCTCCCCTTTCCACCCTCGGCTCCCACACACTCAGCTTCTCCACTCCCTGCTGGTCTTTCCTTCCCTCTTTCCTAGGATTGCTAGAATGATTTGTTCTGAACAGCGACAGGTTTATAGGTTAGCCGACACCTCTGCTCTGTGGAATTTTAATTAACTTCTCCCATCGTCAATATGCTAAGGAATGGGGTCTCCATTCTCTGGGGTCAGCAATGTGTTTCAGGTCCTGCTATATCAGCCGTCAAATTGAAGAATTAATGACGTGGCTAATCGGCTCTAATTCTTAGGAAGAAAAAAATTTGAAAGGGAGTTGTGGTAGGCAGCAGGAGGAGGGGTGCAGGCTCTCTGGAGTGAGGAAAAAGAGGCTGAGCAAAGGGGGGGTCATCTTGCTCATAAAACAAGTGAGTGAGTAAACCCAGTGATGGAGGGTGGCAGCCCTACAGCTTTCCACTTCCATTTGGGTGAGGAGTGAGGGGCAAGGGAAGTAGGGGAAGACCCTGTGTGAATACTGTGACAGAACAGGTATAGGACAGAGTTTATGCAATCTACTGGGGGAGGAGGGAGGCTCTGCTTTGACTCAAGAGAACCTAAAAGCAAAAGTCAGGACACAGAGTATACTTGTTCAAGGTAAAGCCAGAGAATACCAGTCAGGCCAAAGGGTAGGATACAGCCATCATCAAAAGTCTCATACTTCTGGGGTTGGGCATTTAGCCCAGCAGTTGAGACCCCCACCTTCCATAGTGGAGTGCCCAAGTTCAGTTCCCAGCTCCGGCTCCTGACCCCAGTATCCTACTAATGCATACCCTGGGAGGCAGTAGTGACAGCTGGAGGGACTGGCTCCCTGCCATGCATGTGGGAGACATGGATGGTCTTTCTGGCTCCTGTACTCGGCACTGGCCCAGCCCAAGACATTCTGGGCGTTTGGGGAGTGAACTAGCAGATGGAAGATATCTCTCTCTCTGTCTCTCCCCCACCCTCCAGGTCTCTCAAATAAATAAACTTCACACTTCTGCTACAACTGTCCATGTCTCCATTCCTGCATATCCTTCTTTGGAAGAGGGCCTGACTGTCACAGACTCCAAGCCTCTCCAGACGACTCAATTGTGCAAGGGACCCTCCCGAGAACATCTTCCAGGGGCACGGAGCAGAGCTACAAGTTGTTTTGTTATCTTTCAGGGGTGCCGAGAGGTGTCTGCTTGGGGAGTGAACCTAGAGCATATCTGCTCCCGGTTAACAGTAAGGTTCTTAGAGATTCCAATACAGAATACTTCTCTGAACATTGCTGGGGTTGGGTGCTGAGGGAAAGAGTACCTGAGTGGTTATCTCAAACCCATGGACATATGAAGTAACCTAAATAAGCCTCAAGTCTCTGGACTTGACAAATCTAAACTCTCCAAGAGTATCTCAAAGCAACCTGGTAGCAGATTTTCTAGTTCGCTTGACCTAGCAAAAGAAAAGCATTATTGTATGGAACAAAATCATATCCAAACGTATCTCCCTTACCTGAGTAATGGGCTGATAGCAATGGACCAGACTCGGTCTTCAGTCTGGATGGTGTGTAAGCACTGCCCCAGCCGGCCTGAGGCCAAAGGCCATACCTGGAAACGGGAGAAGAGACGTTCTTGTTGGCATTGCCTGGGATCAGGGAGGAGGACAGGTGCACCAGTGTGGTGACTATGCCTAGGGGATGAGCTAATGGAGAATCTTTCCATCCTGCACACACAGAGCTCCAGGGACCAACAGAGAGGCCTCTCCAGTTCCGGCTCTCCCGCCTCCCACACAGATCCTAGCTCCAGGGAGAGCCAGAACCTGCTAGCCCGCTTTATACCAGGCAGTCAGAAGTTCCTCAGCTCAGTTTCGACTGAGCAGAGGTGGAGAGATGGGGCTTGCTTCTCTCAGCAACTTCCCCACATCTGTAGATTTTCCCTTCTCTTGTCACTCACTGAGAGTTTACTTTAGGGGGAGGGGAGTAGAGAGAGGAAGAAAGATCAAGGCGCAGTATAGGCGCAGTATGGGAGGCACAGCAATAGAATTAGAGAGAAGAATAAGAAGAAAGATGCAAAGGAAGGACAGAGTGGAAGAAGAAGACTTCAAAGCAAGAAGGTGGTGTGTTGTTGTTTGTTTGTTGATAACGCGCAGGATCCAATGCTATTCATGTCAGCAGGGAATTTAGCACCTAGTGTCACCAAAAGTAGCAGAAAAGCTTAACTCTTTTAAGCTTCCATATCTCCTACAGGTTAAAAATATTGCTCAGAGCACATTATCTGGTCCCTATCAGTCAGGAATGTACATTAGCAGCCACTCGGGCTTAGCTCTAATCAACACTCCCCGAGCCCTCTCAGCAGTCAGTGCACTTACAACTGTCCCATTAAGCACAGGGCACCCCCCCTTCACCCCCCCTGGCCCAGATGACACACACAGGGACATAAGCCCCTAACCAAACAGAAAGGAAACCTCCAATCTACAGGGCTGTCCCCAGACAGCAGGCACAGAGAGGATCCTGAGGCTGCCAGATGGATCAACGACCTCTCAAGGTCCCTGTAGTGCTATAAGGGGAACATAAGAAGCGCAGGCCGGACCTTAGAAGGAAGAACTTTAAGAAAACATTCCTTGAGTTTAAGGGGTTGGTGATGGAGTGGGTGTGGTCCTCCCTTCTTAGGGTCACATGGTATCTGTTCCCTATAAAAGGAGAAAGTGCTTCTTAGAGTTTGCATGTGTCTGATGGGGGATGGGAGATGGTAAGAGCAATTCTTCCTAACACAGGGAAAAGAAATTAACAAGAGGATCCTGAACAAGGAGGGTAAATATCACTGTTCCTGGAGGGCCCTGATTCTGGCTTACTGGTTGGGCCCCAGTCAGTCCCCTTCAACAGTAACTAGATGCACTTCTCAGCCCCAGCTTGGAAGAGAGCCCTACCTTGTGCCTGGGAGGTGCATTCTTGCTTTTGGGGTGGGGAGATGCTAAGGACTCTAATGATTAGAGTCCAAAACCTATGAGGACAGCCTACCCCTGAACACACTAGCACCCTCCACAAAACTGGCTGGTGGGTTCCTAGATCCCGCAAACCACAGGACAAGGGTACTGGCATGGAGTACCACAGGAGCGGCTCAGGAAGCATGCCCGGTAGTGCACCATTCTCCAGGAACGTAAGTATCATGGCCCCTGAGGGACAGGAGTTGACAACAATTTGCTGATCATACCTTTATCCTCAATGGCCAAATTCAAAAAGGCCCAACCCTAAGAAGGACTCCAGGGGAGTGCACATTTATATAGCCCCTAGAAAAGCAGACTGGTGGTGTATGTGAAGACCCTTAAAAATGACCAAAGCCTGACTCAGCAATTTCAATGAGAATCTATCTTGAGAAAATAACACAAAGGCAAAGAAAACCTAAATGGTAAATACTCTCTGCAGCTCGGGGTGGCAGAAAAACCATGCAGACACTGGAATCTGGATTCCTAGCTGCTACCTACTGTGTTTGCACTCAGGGATGTTTTATAACTTCTTAACCTCAGGTTCCTCATGTATCAAATGAGAAATGTGACTATCTCTTGGGGTGGTAGCATGCAAAGTGGAATACAAAGCACCCAGCCCAGGAGCACAGCATTCCTAAGTACTGGGCCTTTGATGATGGTGGTTCTTATGACTCTAGGAAGACCAGGATGTGCACACCCACCCAACAGGAAAAATTGTAAGTAAATTATGATTAGCCCATTAGGAAGCCATTAAGGATGACATGAACAATCTGTAACAATGGAAAACCTTATCAAATAGAGTAATAGAGTAGATACGGCAGGTATTCTGGGTGTCCAAAGTACATTATAAGCACAATTATGCAGGAGAAAAATGTACCTTGAAGGATAAAATGAAAAACATTAAATACATGAAGTGCTTATTAGCACAATGCCTGGTTAAAACCTATGTTGTTACAAAATAAATAAGCAAATCTATACTTTGAAAAATAACTGAGAAAAAATAACCAGTTCAAACATGCTCTCCTTCATAAAGTCTCCTCTTCCGAGCCAGACATGGCCTCTCTACCGTCTGAACTTCCTGTTCCTTTCCCTCCTAGAACCTTTTTTTTTTTTTTGACAGGCAGAGTGGACAGTGAGAGAGAGAGACTGAGAGAAAGGTCTTCCTTTGTCATTGGTTCACCCTCCAATGGCCGCCGCGGCTGGTGCACCGCGCTGATCTGATGGCAGGAGCCAGGTGCTTCTCCTGGTCTCCCATGGGGTGCAGGGACCAAGGACTTGGGCCATCCTCCACTGCACTCCCTGGCCACAGCAGAGAGCTGGCCTGGAAGAGGGGCAACCAGGACAGAATCCGGCGCCCCAACCGGGACTAGAACCTGGTATGCCGGCACCGCAAGGCGGAGGATTAGCCTAGTGAGCCGCGGCGCCGGCCCCTCCTAGAACCTTATGCGCTTCCCAGTGCGGGCCACTTCCTAGCAGGTTCACAGTCAGGTGCACACATTTCTCAGCGCCCCTCTACAGGCTGTATCTTCCTCACCATGGCCTCCGCCTGGTGCCTCATGCCCAAGCCTCACATGTAGTAGACACCTGTTGGTGCAAATGAAGAGAGAGAAATAAAGCAGGAAATGAAGGAGTAGCCAGTACCATCCAGGCCCAACAAGAACTGAGCTATCATCCATTCACATCTCAGGATGGGACCAGCCCGACTAAAGCCCACAGAGGCAACCAAGCTAAGTCACAGCAGATATGAAACTGGGCTGCAGGAGGGGAAAAAGGGCTCTCTGGGCACGCCTTAGCTCAGAAGTTTTGCAAAGGGAATGTTTTGGTTCCCTTCATTCTATAAAATGAATCTCTCCTAAAACACAGTATGTATTTGAGGAACTTCCAAAGTATAGGCTACAGATATTTACAGAAGGCAAACATCACTGCAGATTCTGATGTAGGTTTAGGTGTATTAGAAGTCTGCAGAGGCCGCCGCCCCAGCTCAGTAGGCTAATCCTCCGCCTTGCGGTGCCGGCACACCAGGTTCTAGTCCCGGTTGGGGCGCCGGATTCTGTCCTGGTTGCCCCTCTTCCAGGCCAGCTCTCTGCTGTGGCCAGGGAGTGCAGTGGAGGATGGCCCAAGTGCTTGGGCCCTGCACCCCATGGGAGGCCAGGATAAGTACCTGGCTCCTGCCATCAGATCAGTGCAGTGCGCTGGCCGCAGCGCGCCAGTAGCGGCGGCCATTGGAGGGTGAACCAACAGCAAAGGAAGACCTTTCTCTCTGTCTCTCTCTCTCACTGTTCACTCTGTCAAAAAAAAAAAAAAAAAAAAAGTCTGCAGAAGCAGCTACAGAATGGCGGATGCTACCGAAAAGAGTTGCTTATGAAAGACACTGTGAGTAACATTGAAATGGGCCAGAACATGAAGGTGGAATCAAATTCAACAAAAGCAAGGAGGAAGCCTGAGCAGCATCCAGAAAGCCCCACAAGATGAGTGGGCTGAGAGGTCACCAGGGAGGCCCGAAACACCTGACCACCTTTCAGGTGTGAACAGAAGAGAATTCTGTTGCTGACTTAAAAGAAATCTTCAGAACGAAGAAGAGGCTTTGGTGATAACACAAAGTATTTACTTTAAATCTTCATAAAATCTAACCTACTACATAGGGATGAATTAGTACTTAAATATAAAACCAACCCAACACACCAAAAAAACCTGCTGTACCCTCAGACTGCTACCTGTGATCATGGAGCTTAGTTTTATACTGCACTAAGTATCAGGTCACAGAAAACAGAAGAAAGAAATGGAGGGGGAGTCTAATGACATGACCAGAAGATGCTAGAAGGAGGTGGGAACATCCAGGTCACACAAGCCACAAAAGGTTTGCAGCAAACTGACTTTTGGGCAGTACAGCCAACAAAGCCAGTATCATTGCCTGACTGGTACAAAGGCAGTGACCAATCAGACACCTGAAGTAGTATGAGGTTAAGGATTGTGAAGCAGGGGACAGGGAGTTCGGTTTCTTGTTGTTTCCAAAGGCTGGGATTTTCTCCGGTTTTCCTGTGCTATATGCACTGTCTCTGACGGACCACAAAGAGTAAGGCAGAAAACAGCGAAGGGAGGAGAAACTTCCATAGACAGAAGGCAGCGTATTTAGTCCCCCTATCACATCCATTAGCAACATTTTCCACATGAAGGAGTAAGCACCAGACAGGTATATGGAGTCAGAGAAGTTAGCTTATAAAGACTGCAACTTCCTTCTCCCCCATCTTCTCCCTGTGGGTCTTAGAGACCCATTTGCTGACACCGACAAACATTTTGCTCCTGTTAGCACTAAGGAGGCTCCAGACGCTGGGAACAAGCAAGACACTCCTGCGCCTCCGGTACCACCAACTCAATTGCCAGCAAATTTCCTAAGGCAGCCCCAAAGGGCCCGGCCCCCGTAGACACTGGCTAGGGCTGCTGGAGACAGCCATGGAGAAATAATTTCTTCTCTGTCTTATGGATGGGAAACCATCGACCCAGACGTGGATGAGCTGGATCCGCAAAGCTGGGGGACACCATCAGCCTCCTCAGATGCCTTGGCAGATGTTTGCGGACCAGGCAACTTGGCAATGGCACAACAAACAACCCCCTTTTCTCAGCATCTCTACTGCTTGCTGACCACATCACTCTCCAGAGACACAGCAAAAACATATTTTAATTATCAGCCTGATTGCTTATAAACAAGGTGGTGAAAAATTAACCTCCCTACACAGGGAGCAAGCAAAAGAAGGAAGATTTTAAAATAAAATATTGGGGTCAGAACTCAACCCACAAACTTGAGGAAATTCAGCTCAGGGAGGAAAAGCTGGCCAGGCCCTCTGTTTTTGAGTTCACGCCACATTTCAAGTGAGTGGCAAGCTTCCCAGCCACTGTCCACTCCTTGCCCAGTCCAGCTGGCAGGGACACCAGCTGGCATGGCAAGCTGCATGCCAGAGGCATAAGTGAGTTCTTTATTGTGTCGTTTCCCCTGCCCCCACCCAGCGTTCTTAGCCAATCCTGGGACTCAAGGCCCTATCCACCCTCTCCCACCCCACTCCCTATAGACAGGCGCGAACAACAGTAAGTCAAGGGGAGACCACCTCACCTTGGCCGTCCTGTCCCTGGAGCCACTCACAATGATGCCCCCTTTGCAATCCACACAATTCACCTCCTGTTCATGAGCCGAGTACTTGACAGTGAAGGTGCTGTGAGTCTTATGAATGCCAATCTTCCCATCTCTAGGAGAGAAATGAGCCCCCACCCCACCCCCAAGAGTCAATTATTCTCTCTGTAGGGAGAGACAAGCCTACCGAAACAACCCAAGCCTGCAACGATATCCAAATTTGCTAAGTGTTAGGCAATTCAGCCCAATAATGTGCTGAACTCCTAGATACCATTTCTTCTTCAGCTCAGTTGGTGCTGAACAGAGCTGGGAAACAAAATTAATTTCCTCCTGGAGAGTATCAAAACTGGCTTCACTTTTCATTAAAGGCTCTTCCTATTTTCCCTCTCCAGTTAACCCTATTAACTTCTTCTGGTAAATCTCTGCTTTAAGTGGGAAAAAAAAAGCCACTACCTCTTCTTCTAGTTTCCCTCCTCGTTCCTTCCGAGTTGAGAGAGGAAAGCAGAGCCTGCAGAAGGTGCCTGCAGGGGGAGGGGTAGACGGGGAAGTAGAACCCGCAGCACTTACCCTCCTGCACTGATAATATGCGAGTTGGCTAGCACGAAGTGACAAACGTCCTCATCATGCCCCGCGAAGACTCCCAGGGGCCGACGGTTCAGGCTGGCACCATCTGGGCGGAACTGGTAGGCCAGGATGAAATTAGCCTGGGATACATACAGAGAATCATCCTCTAGTTGCATCCAGGGCATCTGACTACAGAGACATAAAAGAAATCATGAAGAATCATGAAATCATAAAAGAATCATGAAGGGACAGCAAGAAAACCCGATTCGAATCATTAAGAAGCTGACCAATCCCCAATTCAGCATGGGTAAGCTCTAAAGCTAATAGCCTACACCTTAAGCTAGCCCTCCTTCAGAACTACCTACCCTGTGCTTTCAGAAAACTAGAGTGATTGAGCTTCCTGATGACCTAATCCTTAGGCCTTCTAAAAGAATCAAAATTAGAAGACCAAGTAAATATCATTTTAACAGAATGTTTAACATCTAAATTACTGGATAGCGGGACTTTTCATGGGTAGGTAAAGCTTACAAAATTCAATGGCCAAAAGAAATCTTCCAGCCAGGTGAAATAACTGTCCTTTATTCTGCGTCCTCATTGATTAGAGGTGTTAAGTTTCAATGTTGTAAGGCTCCCATACACATTCTTTTTCAATAAGTCAGTTAGCACATGATAGAAGAGAGGAGTGACCCCTTAGGAAGCCCCATTCCCTACCCAACCAGAGCAAAAGGGCCACTTTTAAGTGAAAGGAATAAAGCCATAAGGAAAGGATGCTAACTGGCTGATGAGATACCTAGATCCTCACAGAGATATCTAGGTTCTGTGTTAGAGGGTAGGAGTGACAACAGAAAAAGTCTGCTGCAGTTCAAAGGCTAAGGACAAAGTCAGCTCTCAGAGGCAACAAATAGTTAAAGATTCCCTTTACAATCTGGTAGGAGGAAGACAAGTTAAAAATCACAGCCCTGGGGCAGGCGCTGTGGCTCAGCAGGTTAACGCACTGGCCTGAAGCACCAGCATCCCATAGGGGTGCTGGTTCGAGACCCAGCTGCTCCACTTCCGATCCAGCTCTCTCCTATGGCCTGGGAAAGCAGTAGACGATGGCCCAAGTTCTTGGGCCCCTGCACTCACATGGGAGACCTGGAAGAAGCTCCGGCCCAGCTCTGGCTGTTGAGGCCAATTGGGGAGTGAACTATAGGATGGAAGACCTCTCTCTCTCTGCCTCTCATCTCTATATAACTCTGACTTTCAAATAAATAAATATTTTAAAAAATCACAGCCCTGGGGCAAGCATTGTGACATAGCAGGTTAAGCTACTGCTTGCAACACTGGAATCCCATACGGGCATTGGTTTGAATCCCAGCTGCTCCACTTCTGATCCAGCTCCCCAATAATGTGCCTGGGAAGGCTGCAGATGACGACCCCAAGTGCTTGGGTCCCTATGACCCACATGGAAGAACCAGATGGAGTTCCATGCAGGCTTCCAGCTTCAGCCCGGTCCAGCCTTGGCTATTGCAACCATCTGGGGAGTGAGCCAGCAGATGGAAGATATCTCTCCCCCCAACCCTGTAACTCTTAATAAATTTGGGTGAAAAAAAAGAAATCACAGGCCTGTCCCACAGCACAGCATCAGTCTTAAGAAGAAAGAAGGTTGCCAGGCACCAGGCTCTGTGGTGGGGACTAAGCCCCATGCCCAGGGTAAACACAGCCCACCTGTCCCACTCTGCATAGGCTTCCTGGAGCTCCCAGGGCCCAGGAAAAGCACAGGGGCAGCTGATTCTCGCTCGTGCACAGACACCATCTCCCACTGCCAAGCCTGTCTAAGCAGACTGGGCAAACTGGACTGTTTCTTCCCCAGACTCCTTAATACAAGCGTCATGGGAATGTGGAAAAGTTCCACAAATTGACTTGACGGCCCATTAAATGCAGCCTGGACTTTGTAGTAACTGAATTTCTACCCAAGAGGTTTAAGTGCATGCATATATTATATGGAACATGTGTACAGTGTGTACAGATGCCTGAATTTCCCACTCATTATGCACATTTTCTCTTCAACAGCCCCTGCATGAGCGTGTGGGACAGTCAAGAAGGCAACAAACAGAAGAGGCTGGAATTCATGTGTTTAGAGCCATCTGGTAAACAGCCATTTGCCTAGGACAAGAAACCAGGTTCATGCCAGGTGAACAGTGGAGAATCCCAGGGCAGCCTGCTGCTAACTGTTCTGTGTGTTTATTTGCCAGACTGCTTGAAACCAGCCCAAAAAGACGTCAGGGGCAAAACCTTGATAGTGAAATAAACTCTTCATTTTAAAAATCCGTCTCTCTCTCCTGAAGTTTCTTTGCCATTACCGCTATCACTAACGTCACCACAGGATGCACAGCAACTGGTGCCAGTGAAACCAGGGACAAGGGACACCAGCAAGAGGGAAAGGCTGCCAGGAAGAAGCCTGCTCCGTCTGGCAGTGCAGGTACAGGTCAACCTGGAATGAGGAGTCAGGAGGGTCCCTCCCACTGCAACCAATCAAGAAACACTTTGGGGGCAGGAATCAAACTCTATGAACTAAGTTAGCACTAATGAAGCATAAAATTTGTGGCATTAGCAGAGCACCAATATCATCTAAATTTCTTGGCATTTTTCCCAAGCTCTACCTAATAATACCTACCCATACATATCCAAATTTTTAATTCTTATTTTGTCTTTTAATAAAGAAGAGAGGGGCCAGCGCTGTAGCACAGTACGTTAATCTTCTACCTGTGGCGCCAGCATCCCATATGAGGGCTGGTTCCAGTCCCAGCTGCTCCACTTCCAATCTAGCTCTCTGCTATGGCCTGGGAAAGCAACAGAAGATGGCCCAAGCTCTTGGGCCCTTGCACACATGTGGGAGACCTGGAAGAAGCTCCTGGCTCCTGGCTTCGGATCGGTGTGGCTCTGGCCATTGCAGCCATTTGGGGAATAAACACGTGAATGGAAGACCTTTCTCTCTGTCTCTCCCTCTCACTGTCTGTAACTCTACCTCTCAAATAAATAAATAAAATCTTAAAAAAAAAAAAAAAAAGAGAGAGAGAGAGCTAAAGGAAACCAGGAGAGAAGCAACTCCCTAGAGTAAAGGGTCCATAAAAAAACTGTAAAACCAGATGGATTGAAACTTCTATTTTTAAAACATTTCTACAAAAATTTTTAAGTGATTATAAAAAATGAAATTTTCTAAAATAATGTACCTTTCCAGTACTCTTGTTTTTCAATGTGAAAAGCAGTTGTCCCTCTTTGTGGTGTCTGAAGGATCCCCAGGGCCACCCCACCCAAGAGAGCCCAGTCACTCTCCGGCTGGAACCAGCTCTTTCACTGGCCACTATGCTTCTCTGCCCCAGGCAGCTTCAGGACAGTAAAGAGGGTACTTGCCTGCATCTCCACTTCAGCAGAACCCCCTCTCGACAGCGCCCCAGCCTCCAGTTCTGAGACACCTTCACCCGTTCCTTCACTGGGACACTGGTCATCCTATGTCCAGACAGAACAGATAATCCACAGTCACTACCACTCCTTGCCAACCACAGAAAATTCCCTAGAATACAAACCCCCACCCCAGTTCCACTTGCTGAGGTTTCAATGTGCCGCAATCAACCATTGTCCAAAAATAGTAAATGGAAAATTTCAAAAGTAAACCATTTGTAAGTTTTAAACTACATGTTCTGAGCAGTGGGATGAAGCCTCACACAGTCCTGCTCCAAACTGCTCACAATATGACTGCTCCCTTTGTGTAGTGTATCCATGCTGTGTGCACTACCCACCCACTCAGTTGGCATCTCGGTTATCAGACCCACTGCGGCAGTATCACAGTCTGTGTTCAAGTAACCTTGAATAATGGCCTCAAAGTGCAACAGCAGCAATGCTGGAAATTCAGATATGCCAAAGAGAATTTGTAAAGCGCTTCCTTTAAGCAAAAAGGTGACAGCTCTCAACTTTTTCAAAAGCACGTACAAATTGGAACAAACATAGTGTGCATAAGGTTTAGCAATATCTTCAGTCTCAGGCACCCAGTGGGTGTTTTGGACCAAATTCCCTGCAGATAAGGGAGACTACTACATAAGTAAGGTTTAGGAGACAAGGATGGATTAACTCTTCTCTCTGTTTGGATAACCAAGAAAGCCTGTCCTTTAAACCATTAGAAATGTCTATAGTGATGCCAAAGCAATCTAGTGGGAGATGGATGACCAGTAGTGCTGAAATCACTGGGTATCCATTCTGAAAAAAAGGAACCTCACACCACACATGAAAAGTAGTTTAAAATAGATCATAAGCCTAAACATAGAATCTAAAACTATAAAGCTATCAGAAGAAATATATAAAAACATCCCTAAGACCAGAGATTGGCAAAGGCTTTAGGGACACAGAAAGTATTAACACAAAAGGAAAATCCAATAGATTAGCCTTTACAAAAATTAAAAATTTCTGCTCACCAAATGACTACATAAGCCACAATCTGGAAGAAAACGATCAGAAAATTTTTATCTGACAAAGGGCTTATATCCAGATAAAGCAAATGTTTGCGTATATTCTTATATTTTTTGCAACACCAATAAGGAACTCTCCTACACTGATGATAAAGCAAAACAGTACGGTCATTTTGGGAAAAGATCTGGCAGTTTATTAAAAAAAAATCTCAATAGACACCTGCTCTACAACCTACTAATTACCAAGAGCATATGTCCACAAAAAGTCTTACCAAAAATGTTCATAGAAGCTTTAGTTATAATAACCAAAAGCTGTAAACAGCACAGACATCCATCAACAGAGAATGGAGAAACACACTGTAACATTCATATAATGGGGTATTACCCAGCCACAAAAAGAAGACACACAGGAAAGCAGATGAATCACAAAAACATTATGCTGAATGAAAGAAACAGGGTTCATATTATATGATTTCATTTACATGAAGTTTGAGAATAACTAATCCACGGTGAAAAAATCAGAACAGTGATTACCACCAGAGTACATATGGGAACTGACTGGGAAGGAAGATGAGGAAACTTTCTGAGGATGTGTTCTACATCTAAATCCTAAAGGAGGTTTGTGCTACATGAGGTGCATGCCTCTGTCAAAAAGGCATTAAATGAAGACACTCTTGTCCCATATCAATATCAGGGAACCTGGTTCAGGTTCCACTTCTGGTTCCCAATTCCAGATCCCTGATAATGTGGTCCTTGCGAGGCAGCAAGGGTGGCTTGGTGGGTTGGATCCCTGGCACTCATATGGAGAACTTGGATTGAGTTCCTAGCTCCCAATGGGCCTGGCCATTAAGGTCACTTGGGAAGTGAACTAACAGAGGAAGGGATCTCCCTTTTTCTGTTCCTCTTCTTCTCAAATAATAACTTTTTAAAAGTATAAAATGATATAATTAAGATTTGAGCATTTCACTCAAGTATATATTTTACCCAAATATAAATTCACTATGTATAACTTTTTCTTAAAAAAACAAAAACAAAAAAAAAAAACACTATTGGGGCCAGTGCAAAGCAGCCACCTGCAATGCTAGTATCCCATATGGGTACTAGTTCAAGCTCCAGCTACTCAATTTCCATTCTAGCTCCCTGCTAATGTGCCTGGGAGAGCAGCAAAAGATTGCCCAAGTATTTGGGCCCCTTCACCCAAGTGGGAGACCCAGACTAAGCTCCTGGCTTTGGCCTGGCTCAGCCCTGGCCATTGCAGTCATTTGGGTAGTGAACCAGTGGATGGAAAATATCTATGTGTCTCTCTGCCTCTGCCTCTCTGTAATTCTTTCAAATAAATAATCTTTTTTTTTCCCCTGCTATGCCACAGCACTGGCCCCATTAAATAAATCTTTAAAAAAAAAATCAGAGTGGCCATTTTGTGTAGTGGTTAAGATGCCATTTGGAGCACCTGCATCCCAAATCAGAGTGCCTGGTTTTGAGTCCTGGCTCTACTTACAATTCCAGCTTCTCAGTAATGTTTTCCCTTGGAGGCAGCAGCTCAAGTACTTGGGTCCCTGTCTGCTACCTGGAAAATGGGTTCAGTTCCTAATTCCTGGCTTTAGCCTGGACCAGTCATGGCCATTGTGGCCATTTGGGAGTGAACCAATGGATGGAAGATCTTTATTTCTGTCTCTCCCTCTCTCTGGTCACTCTTTCAAATAAGCAAAATAAATCTTTTTTTTTTTTTTTTTTTTTTTTTTTTTTGACAAGCAGAGTGGACAGTGAGAGAGACAGAGAAAGGTTTTCCTTTTCTGTTGGTTCACCCCACAATGGCCACTGCGGCCGGCGCACCATGCTGATCCGAAGCCAGGAGCCAGGTGCTTCTCCTGGTCTCCCATGCGGGTGCAGGGCCCAAAGACTTGGGCCATCCTCCACTGCACTCCTGGGCCACAGCAGAGAGCTGGACTGGAAGAGGAACAACCGAGACAGAATCCGGCGCCCCGACCGGGACTAGAACCTGGTGTGCCGGCGCCGCAGGCAGAGGATTAGCCTATTGAGCTGCAGCACCGGCCGCAAAATAAATAAGAAAAATAAGTACAAAGAATCACAGGGGCAGACACTGTGGCATAGCTAGTTAGGCCACCACCTGCACACCACCATCCCCTATCTAAGTGCCAGTTTGAGTCACAGCTACTCTTTGAGTCACAGCTACTCCACGTCCAATCCAGCTCCCTGCTAATGTGCCTAGGAAAGCAAAAGGTGGCTCAAGAACTTGGGCCCCTGCCACCTATGTGAGATACCAGGATGGAGTTCCTGGCTCTTGGCTTTTATCTGGCACAAAACCATCTGCTGTGGCCATTTGGAGAGCAAACCAGCAGATGGAAAATCTCTGGCCCTCCCTCTCTGTTGCTTTACATTTCAAATAAATAGAGCTCTAAAAAGTAAATCATAGGCCAGCGCCGTGGCTCACTAGGCTAATCCTCCGCCTTGCGGCGCCGGCACATCAGGTTCTAGTCCCGGTTGGGGCGCCGGATTCTGTCCCGGTTGCCCCTCTTCCAGGCCAGCTCTCTGCTGTGGCCATGGAATGCAGTGGAGGATGACCCAGGTCCTTGGGCCCTGCACCCCATGGGAGACCAGGAGAAGCACCTGGCTCCTGCCATCGGATCAGCGCGGTGCGCCGGCTGCAGCGTGCCAGCCACAGCGGCCATTGGAGGGTGAACCAATGGCAAAGGAAGACCTTTCTCTCTGTCTCTCTCTCTCTCTCTCACTGTCCACTCTGCCTGTCAAAAAATTTTAAAAAATTTAAAAAAAAGTAAAAAAAAAAAGTAAATCATAGGGGCCAGTGCTGTGGTATAGCAGGTAAACCCCATCACCTGCAGTGCCAGCATCCCACATGGGCACCAGTTTGAGTCCTGGATGCTCCACTTCTGATCCAGCTCTCTGTTATGGCCTGGGAAAGCAGTAAAAGATGGTTTAAGTCCTTGGGCTCCTGGCACATGGGAGACCTGGAAAAAGCATCAGGCTCTTAGCTTTGGATTGGCCCAACTCTGGCCATTGCAGCCATTTGGGGAGTGAACCAGCGGATGGAAGACCTCTCTCTCTCTCTCTCTCTCTGCCCCTCCTCCTCTCTCTGTGTAACTCTTTCAAATAAATAAGTAAATCTTTAAAAACAATTTTAAAAAGTATACTGAAATCTGTATCTTTGAAATGCATGAGAAAGCAAATATAGTCAAATGTTAATTATAGAAACTAGGTGGTAAGTATATGAGGGTTCATTGTACAATTCACTGAACTTTTCTATGGGCTCAATTTTTCACTTGAAAACAAGTTGGGCCGGCGCCGCAGCTCACCAGGCTAATCCTCCATCTTGCGGCGCAGGCACACTGGGTTCTAGTCCTGGCCGGGGCGCCGGATTCTGTCCCAGTTGCCCCTCTTCCAGGCCAGCTCTCTGCTGTGGCCAGGGAGTGCAGTGGAGGATGGCCCAAGTACTTGGGCCCTGCGCCCCATGGGAGACCAGGAGAAGCACCTGGCTCCTGGCTTCGGATCAGCGCGGTGTGCCAGCTGCAGCGCGCCGGCCATGGGGGCCATTGGAGGGTGAACCAACGGCAAAAGGAAGACCTTTCTCTCTCTCTCTCACTGTCCACTCTGCCTGTCAAAAGAAAGGAAGGAAGGAAGGAAGGAAGGAAGGAAGGAAGGAAGGAAGGAAGGAAGGAAGGAAGGAAGGAAGGAAGGAAGGAAGAAAACAAGTTGGAGGGGTAGGCATTGTGGCACAGCAGTTAGGCTGCCATGCCTGCATCCCACATTGGAATGCCTGGGATTGGATCCAACCTCTGCTCCCCATCGAACTTCCTACTAAAGTACACTCTGGGAGGCAGCAAGTGATGGCTCAAAAACTTGGGTCCCTACCTCCCACATGGGAGACCAGACCCGGATGGAGTTCCTGGCTCCTGGCTTCAGCCTACCCCAGACTCAGCTGTTGCAGGTATTTTGGGGAGTGAACCAGCAGATCTATCTGCCTCTCTGTCACTCTGCCTTTCAAATAAATAAAAGCAAAATAAACTTTAA